TGAGGCGGAAGGATCGCCGGAGCCCAGCAGGTGGAGGCTGCGGTGGCCGGGAGCGTGCCAATGCCCTCCAGTCTGGGCGACAGAGTGAGACTCCAACTCAAAAAAAAAAGGCAAACAAAAAAACCCATACGGTCCCTCGACTATCCCAGGGTTCCAGGTCCCAGACACGGGACACACCCTTGCCTCTCTGAAAACCTCTCTCTTCCAGCATCAGGCTCAGCCGAGTGGAAAAGCTTGAGTCACTCAGGCCCACCCCCATGTCCCGTGGACTCTGCCTCCACCCCTCCCAGACCTGGCCGTGTGCTCCCTCCCCACCGGCCTCGGCCACGCAGACCTCCTGCCCTCCCATGGCTGATCTTGGCTTCCCAGCAGCTCGCAGCCGTTTCTTTCCTGCCTCTCACACCCACCCCTCGGCCAGAGGAACTTTTCAAACTGCAAGTCAGCTCATTCCTTCCTCCACTCAGTCAACAAGAATTTGGTGAACATTTGCTACTTGTCAGGCCTCGCACGAGAGCTAAAGACCTAGTCAACTGAGCTCACAGGCTAACGGGGGGACCAGCCGTGAAATAAACGCAGAGACATCCGAAGGGGAAGGAGAGGGCAGCCCCAGCACAGCGGCCTCCACCCTCAGGGCGATACCCACAGTCCAGGGCAGCTCATCTCACAGCTCCTCCCAGATGAGCCTACCAGACGCTCCCTTTCCTCTCCAACTGGCAGCCACTCCCTTTGTCCTCAAGGGCTGGTGAAATGCCCCCTCCTCCAGGAAGCCAATCATCTGTGTTCCCGAGAGCCTGGTGCCGCGCGGAGCTCCTGCCTCACCGTGTGCTAACTGTCTGGCTACTTCATCCCAGTGTCCCAGCTCCTCGCTCCATCGCTAGACCCTGGAGTGCTCAAAAACCATCCACACAGATCTAGGGCTCATGCCTGTTGTCCCAGCATTTCGGGACACTGAAGTGGGAGGGTCGCTTGAGGCCAAGGGTTCAAGACCAGCCTAGACAACACAGCGAGACCTCGTCTCTACAAAACATGAAAAAATTAGCCAGGCATGATGATGTGCCTGTAGCCCCAGCTACTCGGGAGGCTGCAGCAGGAGGATCGCCTGAGCCTAGGAGGTTGCGGCCGCAGTGAGCCATGATTATGCTGTTGTACTCAGCCTGGGCAAGAGTGAGATCCTGACTCAGAAAACCCCAAAAAAACATCTGCACAAATCAATGAACAAGTGAATACCTGCCTTGTTAAGGCATGCATTGGATGGAGAAACAAACTGCACCCAAAGGCCTGAGTCAGGCCACACCCACTCCTTGCAGTCACCCCTGCTCGAGGTGGCTGAGAGGAGTCACCGCCCCGAGAGTGAGGAAGGCGAGGGGCTCAGGCCTCCAGCTTCTAGGAGGGCCTGCCTGGGATGGCTCAAGTGAACATTTTTTCCTATTAAGGCACTGGCGTTCAGGGGGCGGGGACAGGATGTGATTAAGCTGTGTGCTAAACAGGGTGTCCAGAGGGTCGCCTTCCTCTGGGACAGCAGGCCTGCCGCCAGCCCCTTTCCTGAGGGTGACCTCAGCCAACAGGCATGAAACCAACAGGCGGGCTCGGTGTGGGGAGCTGGGGGTGGGAGACACGATGGGGAGCCGAGCTGGAGGTCGCCCCCCCACCCCCAGGAGAGCCCAGCACAGCACCCATGACAGGGCAGGCAGGCAAGAGTTGGATGGAGTCTGAGCCCACCCTAGGGGCAGCTGGCCCCACACCGCTGTGGGCAAGCCCCGGGCCTCCCTCGGTGGAGTCTAGCAGGTGAGGCTGGGGGCTTCCCAAGGTGGCCTTTTCCCATGGGACTCCAGTCGGACTGATCAGTGACCTGCCCCAGACCCCGAGGGAGGAACAACCTGAGTCACCCTGTGGAAGAGGGAGATACAGTCGCCATCCCTAATGCCTGGAGGAGCCAGGCCGGTCTGCAGTGAGAGAGACTTGGGAAGAGAGGAGGAAGGCTTCTAAGCCGGCAGGTAGGAGGACTCCAGGCTGAGTGATGCCAGGGAAGGTGTGTCCTGTCCCAGGGCCGAGAAGGACCAGGCAGGGCATTCTGGGTTGGAAGCTGCTGGAGACAGCTCCTGTTGGGAGCACTCAGTAGGACTGGTGGGAGGGGGCAGAAGGAGTGCTCAGTAAACCCGCAGGGGCTGCCTGAGGGCCACGGCTGTCGGGGCAGTGGTGGCTACAGCACTTTCCTGTCCATCTCCAAGTCTCCAGCCTCAGCCTCCACCACCACCTGCCCCACTGTAAGAATCTCCACCTGATCACTTGAGCCCAAGAGTTCGAGACCAGCCTGGGCAGCACAGTGAGACCCGACTCAAAAAACTAAAAATGTGAGGGCTAGGAAGACCTGAAGTCCCCAGGAGGGGTGGGGTGGAGGGAGGTTCCCCCAGCAGCGGCGGCCAGACCACAAAGCCACAGGAGCCCCACCCTCCACCCCATCCTGCCTGCCTCCACCAAGGGGCTGGGCCTTGCACTTGGACTTCCGCAATCAGGCAAGGGACAGAGGCACGAGCCACCAACAGTCTCCAGAGCATCTTGAGGGTGGCTGGGGGCGTGGCCTCCCACACCACCAGCAACAATGGCTTGTACCATTTCCTCTCCGGAAAAGCAGGTGGTGACAAGCCAGACCCATCTAAACCCAACTCTGCCCTTTGCCACTCCCAAACACAGGGGAGAAGGGTGCGGGTGCCGCTGGGGGCTGCAGAGACCATCTGGCTTCCTGTCAGCCAGCACTGACCACCCACACGGTTTCTGTGCCTGGTGTACCCGGATTGGCCCCGCGGCTCCACACCCGCTCGGGAGCAAGCTGAGGGGGACACCGCAAGCTCCAGGTGAAGTCCTGTCTCCTGCCACCTAGCCCAGGAGAGAACCTTGGGCCTCGGACCTCCTGCCCCACACATGCTGCGGAAGAGGGACCCACCTAAAGGTCACCTTGGGGACAGGCTCCGCCTGGCCACACCATCTCTCCTGGCAGAGAACTCTGCAGTATGTGGTGGCAAAGATGAGCCCCTGGAATGGGGCCTGAGAGTCTCTATTTTTGTTTGTTTGAGTCAGGGTCTCACTGTTGTCCAGGCTGGAGTACAGTGCACGATCACAGCTCACCAGAGCCTCGACCTCCTGGACTCAGGCGATCCTCCCTCCTCAGCCTCCCAGGTAGCTGGGACTACGGCCGTGTGCCACCACGCCCGACTAACGTTTTTGGAGATGAGGTCTCACTACGCTGCCCAGGCTGGGCTTGAACTCCCAAGCCCAAGCGACCCCACTGTCTTGGCCTCCCAAAGTGCTGGGATGACGGGAGTGAGGCAGTGTGCAGGCCGGGAGTCTATCTCGAACGAGCTTCCCACGGGGATCCTGCAAAACCCAGGAGAGGATGCCACACCCAGGAGCACTGGGGTCCCAGGCCTCCCGAGCTCTCTGTCACGGGCGGGGCTGGGCCACTCACTCACCCGGTTGGCTGTGATGACCAGGAGCCCACACCACTCGCTCCCTGCCCGCCCGCCGGCAGGCCACCCACCCACTCACCCGGTTGGCTGTGACGGCCAGGTTCTGCAGGTTCTGCAGGAGGCCGACGTCGGCGGGCAGCAGGGTCAGGTTGTTGTGGCTGAGGTCCAGGTGGCGCAGCTTGCGGCAGTAGAAGAGCTGCGGCGGGATCTTCTCGATCTTGTTGCGGTTCAAGTAGAGGCGCTCCAGGCTGGTGAGGTTGCCGATCTGGACGGGGACGTAGGCGATGTGGTTGTACCACAGCTTAAGGCAGGTGAGGCGGTGCAGGTGCTGGAAGCTGATGATCTCCTCGATGGTCTTGAGGTTGTTGTCCTTGAGGTCGATCTCCTGCAGGTTGTGCAGGCTGAAGATGGAGTGCGGGATGCGCTCCAGGTCGCAGCGGACGAGCTCCAGCTCCGTGAGGTTGGCCATCTTCTTGAGGCTGTTGAGCACGACCAGCTTGGTGCCCTCGTTGTTGACCGACAGCTTCTGCAGGTGCACGCCCACGTCCGTGACCACCTGCGGCAGCTTGCTCAGGTTGCTCTTGAGCCGCAGCACGCGCAGGCGCTTGAGCTCGCGCAGCCCGTCGATGACAATGAAGCGGTTGTTCTCGGCGCTCAGGTTGCCCGTCAGGTGCAGCTCCTCCAGCGTCTTCAGGCTGTAGATCCACAGCGGGATCTCCTTGATGTCCGTGAACTTGATGTGCAGCGCCCGCAGGTTCTCACGCAGGAAGGCCAACGCGGGCGCCTCGATGCGGGCCGCCGTGTGGTAGAGCCACAGCTCGCGCAGGCCGGCGAGCTGCGCGATGCTGGGCGGGATGGTCACGTCGGGGATGAGCTCCAGCTTGAGCACCTCCAGCTCGGCCAGCTCGAACACGGTGTCGGGGATGCCGCTGAGCATGAACAGGTGCAGCTCCAGCTTGTCCTGCGCATTGCGGGTGAGGCGCTGCCGCAGCTTGTCCAGCGTCCACTCGTTGTTGAGGTTCAGCTGGCGCAGCTTGTTCTCGCTCACCTCGGACAGGAACACGGCGAAGCGCTTGGAGTAGAGCGGGTCGTACTGGTCGATGAGGTGCAGCATGAAGGCGAAGTCGTTCTTGACGTCGGGGATGTCGCTGTAGCTGCTCTCCTCGCGGATGGACTCGAACGAGTACTTCTTGAGCGAGCGGCGCAGCATCCACCAGAGCGTGTACACGCAGATGAGGCCGTAGCACAGCACCAGGCTGATGTAGAAGGACGCCAGGATCTTGAAGAGCGTGGCCAGCGGGTGCGCGCAGCGGTAGGCGCGGTAGCCCGTGAGGCTCTCGATGTCCACAGCGCAGTCCACGTCGAACTTGATGTTGTGCACGTGGTAGACGGTGTAGCAGATGATGAGGACGAACTTGATCACCTTGATGACGGTCTGCCGCACATACAGCCGGTACACGATGTCGCCCTCCTCCACGTGCGTGCGGAACTTCTTCACCTTCTCGAACAGCGCCTTGGCCTGCTCCCCCTCCTTCTTGTCCAGCACGCCCGTCTCCGAGCGGTCCACAATGCCCTGCTCGATGCGCGACTTGGTCCGCTGCAGCATGGGCACGGTGGCCTCCACGTCCTCGCTGACCGTCGACGACTTCTTGTCCATGGAGCCGTTCATCTTGCTGAAGGCCGGCTTGGGGTCGCTCTCCTCCACCACCGTCTCCGACAGGGCACGCGTGGTCCAGGGCGAGTCGAAGCACTTGAGCAGGATGGACACGAAGTGCTCCAGCTTCGAGCTGGTGCGCGGGAACTTGAACCAGAAGTTGCTGCAGGCCAGGAAGATGAGCGTGTGCAGCAGCACCAGGTAGGGGAAGTACTTGGCGAACCAGTGCAGCCGGTTCTCATAGCACACGGCATCCACGTAGTTGTACTGGTGCCGGTCCAGGTCGTACCTGATGCCCGTGGGGCCCGCGGCGGGGGGCGGCAGGGCCGTGGCGTTGGCGTAGGCGGGCCCCGGCCCAGGGGCTGCCCAGCCGCGGAATGAGTCGTTGCAGGAGTCCTTGGTGACCCACTTACAGGGCAGGCAGATCATCTTGTCCTGGGTGACCTGCAGCGTCCCCCCGAACACGGCGATCATCAGCATGACAATGGAGATGTAGTCGGTGAACACGTCCCACCACGGCTTCAGGATCCGGTAGGCCGGCTGCGTGTCCGCAAAGTAGCGGAGCTCGGTCACCGGAATCATCGTTCACCCTGAAAGGGACCCACAGGAGGGGGTTACCACGGGACGGCCTGGCCTTCGCTGGTTCGCCAGGAAGACGAGGACACGCCTGCCGCCGCCCAAGCCTGCCTCAAGTCCAGCCGGGAGTCGAGGCCCGGCCACGCCGCGGGGCCACACGCCCCAAGGGGAGGTGGGGTGTCTTCCCACTTAGCAGGCCGGAAGACTGAGCACTGCGAGCTCAGGGCTCACGCTGACTGAGCCCTAAGGCGCCCAAGGTTCTCGGCCTCATCCCCCACATTCCAGGAAGAGCACTGGGGGATTCTCGTCTAGAGTCCACCCACTTAATGACCAGAGTGACCACAAGGGCCTATTTAAAACTCACAGTTCAGAGGATCACTTGAGCCCAGGAATCCGAGACCAGCCTGGGCAACGCAGCAAGACCTCACCTCTACAAACAATTTAAAAAACACCTGGACATGGTGGTGCATGCCTGTAGTCCCAGCTACCCAGGAGGCTGAAGTGGGAGGACTGCTTGAGGCCAAGGCTGCAATGAGCTATGATCATGTCACTACCCTCCAGCCTAGGTGACAGAGCAGGACCCTGACTCTTAAAAATAAATAAGAAGTAAAATTCCCAGTTCCCTCAGCATCAGCCACTGTGAAGGAACAGCAGTGACCTGAAGGGATTTTTACAAAGTATGAGGAAAGCGACTTGCAGTGTAGAGGGGGTGTAACACGAACTCACTTTTGCAAGACAAATACTGAAGCTGAAAAATGCCACGTACGCATATAGTTATGTTCGGATAGGATTCTGGGAGTGCTCAGGGAAGACCAAAGGTCACACACAGTAGGGCTCATGACAGGCTCCTGGGGGAGGGGCCACACAGGAAGGAACGAGAACAGGGCTGTTCTCCTCCCCACCCCGGTTGACAACACTGAGGCCTTCATGTGAAATCATCTCGGCTGTGTGTATAAAGGAACCATCCAGCAGCAGCGGACTCTCCCCTGGAGAGTCCAGTTTGGCTGGCTGAGGACAGAGCTTGGGAATCTGAGTCGGGGTCTCACTCTGTCACCCAGGCTGGAGTGCAGCGGCACAATCGTGACTCACCGCAGCCTTGACCTCCTGGCCTCAGGTGATTGATCCTCCTGCCTCAGCCTCCTGAGCAGCTGGGACTACAGGCACACACCATCATGCCCAGCCGGGAATCTGAATTTTAACATATGGCTCTGGTGACTCTCATGATCTGCCAAGCTTGGGAAATACTGGATCAGAGCCACATTCAGGAAGTCCAGCCTGTGCCACCCAGGAGGCACACGACAAGATACATGTGGGAAGGGGTCCTTTCCTTGTCCATGTGTGACCACCCTGCCAAGACAGGTCATCCTTATGATAGTCTGTGAGACTGCAATGAGGGAGAAAGAGCACTTGATGTTCCCTGGGGAACATCTGGAAAATATAAGAAAGCCTAAGGAAAAAGAACCCCTGTAAAACACCACCAGGGTACCACTGTTAATTTTTCACTAACAACCTTCCAGTTCATTCAGTGGATTTTTAGAAATAAGAATTGTGCTTTTACTTTGCACTCTATTTTCTAACCTAGAACCTAGATTTTTTTTTTTTTTTTTGGAGTCGGAATCTCGCTCCATCGCCCAGGCTGGAATGCAGTGGCACGCTCACGGCCACCGCAGCCTTGATCTGCTGGGCTCAAGAGATCCTTCCGCCTCAGCCTTCCTAGTAGCTGGAACTACAGGCGCACACCACCACACCCAGCTAAATTTTTGATTTACTGTAGAGATGAGATCTCACCAAGTTGCCCAGGCTGGTCTTGAACCTGTGGGTTCAGGCAACCCTCTCACCTCAACCTCCCAAAGTGCTAGGCATGGGCCACAGCACCTGGCCCCGAACCTAGATTTTAAACCAAGGTTTTTGTTTTATTTTTTTAGACACAGTGTTTTACTCTGTCGCCCAGGTTGGAGTGCAGTGGTACGATCATGGCTTACTGCAATCTCAAACTCCCGGGCTCAGGTGATCCTTCCGCCCCAGCCTCCAGAGGAGCTGGGACTACATGCCACTATGCCTGGCTAATGTTTTTACTTTTTGTAGAGACAAGGTCTCACTTTGTTATCCAGGCTGGTCTCGAACTCCTGGGCTCAAACAATCCTCCCGCCTCGGCCTTAAACCAAGTCTTAAATACCTGTGCCAAATGGGTGTTTTTCCCTTGGGAGAGGAACAGGATGGGACTGGGCCACCTTACTTTCATTACTAATGACATCAACAACCATAATGGTAACACACTCTTCAAGAACAGGACTTCTCTGCAAACACCAGATCTTTCTAGGAGACACTGGGATGTGTGGGCAGGACAGGAGGAGTGGGCACTTAGTAGAGGGGATGATGGTCACAGGTGCTGAGTGCCTGGACATGTGTACTGGGAAGGCCCAGCCTGCAGGCTCTCGTGGAGCCCCTTCAATGCCGGGGCGGCAGGGCCTCTTTAGCCCCATTCCACAGATGAGGACGCCGAGGCTAGGGGAGGGAAGTCACCCGCCCAGCATCACCCTGTTAGGCCCGTCCCTCCACGGCTAAGCATGGGTCTTTGCCACTGTCAGGGTTTGCTCTCTACCTGCCGGAGGCCCCACCCGAGGGCCTGGGAGAAACGGCCCCAGGAGTTCAGTTTCCCTTCCCCCAGGGTTCCCGGAGCAGGGCTCCCAGAGCAGGTCACCGAGGGGCCAGCAGACACCACCGCCTGCCCTGCGCCGCCGGCTCCAGCCCCAGGGTCGGCCTGGACTCACGGGCCAGGACGAGTGCCCGCCCCACAGGAAGGCCCAGGCCCTCTAATGACCAGCTGAGTCCACACACCACCCACACTCCTGGAGAGAGGGGCGCTTGGAGACGGGAGGGCTGCTCAGTCATACGGCTGCCTCTGCTGGGTCAGGCAGACAGCCGTCCCTTGCTTCCTGGCAACCAGTGTCCTCATCCAAGGCATGGGCCCAAAGATGGGGGGCGGAAAGGGAGGAGAGGGCTGGGCCAAGGGGCCTGAGGGCGTGCAGCTGCCTGTCCCCAAGAACCCAGATGAGGCAGCCAGCGGGAGCCAATGGTCTGGGGCGGGGCAGTTATGAGCAGGCAGGATGTGGCCGCAGGACTACATGCTGTCCCTGTGCCAAGGGTAGTGGGCATGTCAGCTCCTCTGCCAGGGCAGCCTGCACCTCTCCGACTCCTGGTTTGGGGTAGCAAGTCCTCACACTGGGAGGACTCCTGAGGCTCAGAAAGGGAAACGCCTTACCCAGGGAGGAAGAGTCCGCCCACTCAGGCTGTCTCACACCCCTGGAGCTCAACGGATGTGCTGGGCTCTGTTCAGTCATTGGCGAGGTCTTGCGGGGGCAAACGAAGTGACCAAAGTGTGTCCCCCACCTCAGTGTCCTCTCCATCCAGTGTGAGCCTGTGGGGAGGAGGACGAAGGTACAGAGGGGCAGAGCCCAGGGCTGGCCACAGACCTAAGAAGGGTCGGGACTCTGTCCTGGCTCGTGGTCAGGCTCACCCTTGGGAGAGTGACCTGTCCAGAGGAGTCACCCACTGGCTGCACCCATGTTTCCTCCTCGTCTCTGCTGTGTGATTCTGGACAAACAGCTGCCCTTCTCTGACAGGGTTTAGGAGAGACCAGGCAAGAAGGTGCAGGTACCAATTCTGGGCTTTAGTCCTCAGGGGTTGGGGAAGAGGTGGCCTCTCCCACGACCAGCCTCCAACAGGAGACGGTTGGGGGGTCGGAGCAGCCTGACCCCTGGCTGGTGGCTCTCTCGCTCGCATTGCTTATGCTGAGGATGAAGGAGGGACGCTGGTGACGAGGTGTGGGCCTAGGACAGGCTCCTCACTGCCTGGAGCCTCAGGTTCTCCACATCCACACAGGGCTACAGGGAAGAAGCCACAAGCTTTTTAATATTTTTTTTTTTATCAAATAAGACAGGGTCTCACTATGTTGCCCAGGCTTAAACTCCTGGGCTCAAGCGATACTCCCATCTCAGTCTCCCAAGTAGCTGGGATTAAAGGTGTGCACCACCATGACCAGCTATTTGTTTTTCATTTTTACTGTTTTGAGTTAAGGTCTCACTCTGTGGCCCAGGCTGGAGTGCAGTGGCACGATCACGGCTCTCCACAGCCTCGACCTCCTGGGCTCAGAAGATCCTCCCACCTGAGCCTCCCAAGTAGTTGGGACTACAGGAACGCACCATCCCACCCAGCTAATTATTTATTTATTTTTGTAGAGATGGGATCCCACTGTGTTGTCCAGGCTGGTCTCAAATTCCTGGGCTCAAGCAATCCTCCTGCCTCGGTGTTTCACAGCGCTGGGATTATAGGTGTGAGCCACCATGGCCGGCCTATTTTTAATTTTTTTTGAGACAGGTTCTCCCTATGTTGCCCACGCTGGCCTCAAACTCCTGGCCTCAAGTGGTCCTCCTGCCGTGGCCTCCCAAGTAGCTGGGACTACAGGTCCATGTGTCCCGCTGTACCTGGCAAGCCTGTGGAACTTAATGCTTTTAAAGCGCTTAGCGCAGAGTGGGTGAGCAGTTAGTCTGGGCTGGTATCATCATCTTTTCTTGATCTCTCCATCACCAGGGTGAGGCCAATGCTCTTTGAGGACATGAGTCTGTAGCAGGCACTAGGCCCTAAGTCAATTCAGAGGTGCTCCCAAGTGTGCCTGAAAGGGGGCAAGGCGGGTGGGGCGCACACAGGGTGTGGGCCCCGGGCGTGGTGAGCACAGATGGATACGGGCTGGGCAGAGGGAGGAATCCACAATCAGCCTGCCCTCTTCCTGCCCAGCTGGAGGGCCCTGGGGGAGGAAATGCATCTCCCCAGGGGGACCCGCTCAGGAGCTGAGGGTGTTGCCAGACACCTGAGGGCCGAGCCCAGAATCCCCAGGATGCACGACCAGGAGGGCCCACTGTTGCATGCCCATTTTGCTCCTCAGTTATTCTCTCGTGGGGTGAGACGCACATAGCTCAGAATTCACCCTCTCAACCATGCTGAGGCACGCGGCCTA